ATCCGTATTCGTTTGAGCAGCACTTTCTGCGACCCAAATGCGTATGAAAAATTTTGTTCTTTTAATTAATCATACATTTTCTGTTTTTCTTTTTTTTATTTATTTGTTTGTTCGCATACAGACTACTTGTAATTTTTATAATTACTTGTTGTTACTTTCAGTCAACAATCACTTTTTTTTTCCAATGTTCGTAGCTTTTGTTCTTTATTAAAAAAAAAAAAAAATAAAGTATATACGGATATGTTATTAAAAATAAATTGGATATATATTTTCAAATATTTACACGTTTGATTATCCGCAAAAATATTAGTTAACAATTTTACGAAAAATATAAGTTTCTTAAACACAAAATATGCTAGTAAACAGAATGATCGATTATATGAGGTTAGATGTTGCTTCAACGCTTGCCAAATTAATAATCCACATTAGTTAGCTTTATTACCTATGATTTCAAATTAGCAGTTAGTCGATCTATCTTCCCTCCTTCTATCCTCCTAACCCCTCTTTTTTCTTATATATATAATACAAACAGTAGATTGATAAATTGGACTTTCTTTATTCAACAAACAGAATAACTTTTTCTTTTCTTCGTGATAAACAATAAGAATGAATGATCGAAAGTACGTAATTCATATATCACTCGTGAATCAACAAAAATTGGATTCGCGTAACTTTTGACCTAAGACGTTAGCGCACGTATTAAAGAATCAAAAAAAAAAAAACAAAACAAAACAAATGTGATTCAAATGTTTTCACTTTTAAATTCTTTCCTCGCAAAAAAAAATACTTTTCTTTTCTTTCTTTTTTTCTTTTTTCTTTTTCTTCTTTTCCTTCGAACATTTTCAAATTTTCCACCTCGTTTACATGAAATGTTCGTATAAGAGAAAATACGAAATATTTAATAACGAATAGTAATCAGTGGCGGTAAAAAGATAATAGAAGTCAACAATGATGATTATTACAAGAGAGATAACAAGAACGATATTATCAAGATAGGAATAAACGACGAAAATGAATGGCGTAGGAGAAGAAAACAAGAGTAAAAAGTAGAAGGAAGATAAAAATAGATAGTAATAGAGTAAGCGAGAGGTATTGTGAGAAAGAGTGATTACGAGATACACAAGAATATTATTGAAGAGTTAGGGACGGATAAGAGAAAGAAAGATAGATAAAAATAAGAAAAAAAAAAAGAGAGAGATGCTGCAATAAAACCGAATGAGACCAAGAGAGATCGACAACAAAGAAATATTAAACTACGAGTGTGTGTCCATATTTCACAAACAAGATTCTCATTGTCAATACAACGTTCAATATGTAGATTGGTATATGGGTAGGTAGATGATATTCTTTGCGTGTATGAGACAAAACACACACACACACAAATTAAAAAGAGAGAGAGAGAGAGAAAGAGAAATTAATTAAAGATAGAAGAGAGTACGAGAGAGAGAGAGAGAGAGAGAGAGAGAGAGAGAGAAAGCTTTGGTGTTGGTATGTACAACAGTCTCCATTAGTCTTTGTCCAGGTTGCTCTGAAATTGCCATAGCCGTTTTAGGTTGTTCTTAGCGGCCGATGAAATGACCGTAAACGTTAACACCCCCCCCAACCCCCCCCCCCCCCCGCCTATGTGAACACGAAAGCCTATAACATGGTAATCGATTACGCATCTAACGATCTAAATCTAAATCTAATCTAAATCTGTATTATATATATGCATATAAATATCGTTATTAACAAAGTTTTATTTTTTTTTATTTTTAATAAGAAAAGAAAATGACGAAAATATAAAAATATAAGGTATTTCTTAATAATATTTTAAACGAATTGAAAAATTAGAAATATTTTTCATTATTTTACGATCAAATCAAATTAAATTTACATCTATATAAATACTCGTTTAACATTTTTCATTCATAAATTATTATTATTATTTAGAAAATATTTAATGTTTTCTCGAAAAAAAAATAATGTAATTTTTACATAATTTATATTATATAAAATGAAATCTTACAAAATTTTTAAGTATAATCGAAATAATCACTCTTCTCATTTCGTACAAATTCATTATGTTATACAATTAAAATAGAAATCTTTCAAGTTAACGGGGTGTTTAGCTAAATTATCGCTCGAAAATGTTACGTTTTATGGCCGCTCGATCATTCAACAAGAAATATTATGTGATTTTACTGCTAAAACGTATCAACGAGTATTTAATTATGATTTTCTTTTAAGCTTTCGACATCGTTAAACTCTCCTCTCCCTTTTTCTCTCTCTCTCTCTCTTTCTATATATTATAAGTATACATATATGTATATTTTTTTTCTGTTTTATTATTATTTTAATTATATTATATATATACCTATACATATATTTAGTATTATTATATTTCCTGCGGTCAAAACATGAAAGATTATATATATATATCAGTAACGTAATACAAACACATATTTACTTATATATGTATACGTTGAAGTCGTCAATCAAGATGCACTGACGTTATCTAACTCGAAGACTGATACTAATAGTATCATCGTTAAAGTTCCTACTAATTTTCCGATGCAATTACTCTTGAATCAAGCTGACGGATTTACCCGCAGGTTTGAATTTATCTCTACTAAGCGAAGCAAACTTACAATTAGTCTCTGTGTGAAATTTCCAACTGTTCAACTTGTTATTTTACAAAATACCAATTCATTTTGGATCATCTCTTTTGGAATGACTTTTATGTTGGATGTCATTATAATAAATGGGATAAAAATGTAGGAAAAAAAATAGTCATTTATAAAAAAACAAAAAACAAAAATAATTTATCTGATTTTATTGAAACGATAGAAAGAGTAAAATATTAATAGTTATATTTTGGCAATTTCTGCAACGTATGATTGTCCTCGATAAATAATACTTTTCGAGAATGTTTGTATTTTAAAAATGAAACGACGAGATTTTAATAGAATATTCGCGCCCGAAGCGGATATCCGCTTTAATCTTTTACGTTTCATCTCGCTAATGTGTATATATATATAAAATGAACACCGTACTCCGAATACAAATAGCCAATGTAATGATTTTTGAAACTCAATAAAAGAACATTTTCGCTCGTTCCCGACGAGCCGGTTAATATTAGGTCAAGTTTACTTATTTTTAATTTGTAATTTGCCTTTGTCGACAAAAAAGAAAAAAAAACCTCTTCTGAGATTCCCAATTTTGTTACCCCTCGAAAAAATTCGTTTTACAATCTTAGAGCAATTTCTAAGTTATTCCAGTTAATCCGTGGCGTATAAAAATAAAAAAGTTACTCTTCTAATCTTCGAATTTCAAGTTTCTCATATAATATCGTTTTATTTTTTTTTTTCTATAAAAGAATTTTACGACGAACGATCAATTTTCCTTTTTTTTTCTTTTCTTTCCCTTTCTCTCTTCATCCATATACGTATGTTCTTTGACATTATGTATATACGATAAAAGAAAAAAAAAACGTTCGAAAAGGGTGGTTCTTAAGATCAAATGTATTTATATCATAAAGACGTTTTCTATACGTTTTACGATGAAGTTCGTATTTTTGTGAAAAAAATATGAATCTTCCGACCAAAGATTCTTTTCCTTGCAGCTAAAACATGAAAGACTTTATATGTTTTTTCGTAAAATCAACATAAAAAAAAAAGAGAACAAGATAGAAAATCAAAAATAATTTTTGTCATATTCGTGCCAACGATACGATATTAATATATGGATACCTGGAAATATTTGTTTTGTTTTTTTTTATTACAACGTTGTAAAGATTCTTAATAAAAAATTAATTCGAATACGATCGATAGAAAAGGAAACTTTTTAAAATTGAAAAATTAAATAAATATTCTCTATTAAAAGATCGATAAAACCGATCGAGTATTGAAGATCTTTTAAAACCTGATGTCTTCTATCAATGAATACTTTCTTTTTGAAAAAAAAATTTAACGTATCACATAATTTTTTTCTATTTTTTTGTTGTTGTATTAAAATAAACGGTGAGACTTCGAGAATGATCCAGGAAAAGAGACGATCAAAGTGATGCTGCACACAAAGTTTAAAAATAGTATTCAAAGTTGCCCTTGGATAAATTACTGCGACGTCATAAACATGGACGATGGTATTCACCAATGAACCGCGCCGAACGATGCATTCATCCATTATTTTGTCTGTGTATTTTATCATCAATAATTATATATATCTATAATATAATTAATATGTGTATGAACGTGTAGAGCAAGAGGAATTTCGGTGAAATTTTCTTTATTATTCACTTTTGTACGTTGCAACGATTAAACGGAAAGAAAATCATGTCATTTCGTTATTACGAAGAGTTTCATACATGACAAGCAATTTTCCGCTTAATGAAAGTTTTTGCGCTTTCAAGCCCAAGGAGCTTTCAGAGTTTCTATCGGGTTTATAGGCACGCAAAGAAAAAAAAAAGAAATAATGTTTTTATTTTTCTATAGAACGAAATTTCATAAATCACTCGAACTTAACGATCAATCACATTATTATCTGTTAAATAATGAATTATACGTTTAATTACAATACGAAATAAATTATAACATTTATTTATATATGTGTTATACGTTTTATAATATTATTATATCGTACATTTATCCGTATTTTATATATTTAACCCTTATTGTAAGTCAGGTGGGAGATGACAATACAAAACGTGTCGAAACTCGCTGTGTCTTAATAAATAATTATTAATAATTAATAACTTCACATATATTTGGAATATTAATCATTCAAAAAGATAAATGATTTTTAATAATAATGTTATTCTTATAATATTACAAATTTTTTGCTTATTCACCAAAACCAATTACAACCTTGTAAGAATCACGTATAAAAAGCTAGCGATCGATAAAGGTTAATGTAACATAATTTATATATATTACATTTAATTTATTATATAATAAAAGTTATGTTTTTTAATATTTGTTATTATTTTTCTTTTGTAGATAGCAACTTTGTGCTGGGCAATGCCCAAGTTCCGACGATTTATCCGATCGTTTATTGCTCCGACGGATTCTGCGAGCTGACAGGATTCACACGAGCGCAAATCATGCAAAAGGGTTGCGCTTGCAAATTTCTTTACGGCCCGGAAACGAAGGAGGAAGTTAAAGCGATGATCGATAAAAGTCTCGAAAGTAAAACAGAACTGAAGATGGAAGTCGTATTTTATAAGAAGAATGGTAAGAAAGAATTTATTAAAAATAATGTATGTCATCTTGTCAAGCAATATCGAAGACTTGTTTTCTTTTTGTTCCTTTCTTTTCTTTTTAATTTTTTTTTTCAATTTACTTTGACAAAATGAAATTCGAAAGATACGAGTAAACGACGACCACCCGGTCCACGTCTTGTTTTTTTTTTTATAAATATTAATATTTTTCAAAGATAGAAACACATCGATGATAAAAGTAACGAAATGAATGATACATTTTTAGGAAAACGTATTTACAAAAATAACATTCGACCTTATTTTATTTAAATGCAACGTGGTATACATACCTACTACTACTATTACTACTGTTAACACCGCCACGACCTATTAATTTCTCCCTAATATTCTACCGTCGAAGATTAAATTTGCAACGAAGTAAAGAATCTGTCCCGTTGGAAGTAAAATTTAATCTTTCCTTCCACCCACTGGACGCAAATAAAAATAAATTATAGGTAACAGCAGCAGCAGCAACAGCATCAGTTTCTTCTCTCTTCCCCGTGGTAGTAGTAACTATACTATATTTCATTTGCAGAAAAATCACGCCGATATTTCAATTCCTTTTCATTTCCCGTTGGTGGAAAAAAAAAATAACATAAATTGATGATTGCTTGTGTTCATTGAATCAATTTATTAAAATATAATCATTTTAAAAATGTAAATGTTACCTTATATCTCCTACGTCAGATTCTAAACATCGAAAAAAAGAAGAAAAATAAATATTTCTTTATTTAATGTGTCAATGCACAATTGAAAGACGAAGACAAAAAGAAGGAGGAGGGGGGAGGGAACAAGATGATTATTGGAAATTCGATAAACAAAAATTCTGCAACCGTGACGTTATTAATGAGTTACTCATTTGCAAAATCGATTAATTTCACGAAACAAAAAGTAACAAAAACAATCGATAAAATAATTTAAATTGTCGTTTATCATTTATTATTGGACAATCGAAAATAACTATTACATTTAATGGTATTTTAAATCTGAGATCATTAAAGAAAATTGATTTTAAATATAAAAAAGTTAATTATCAATGAAGTTACTTTATAATAATAAAATTTGTTAAATATAACTACTTGCTCTGTTTTTTCTCCTGAACTTTTTAATAATCAAATTAATTTGCCTAACGTACAAATACTACTACTATAAGCATTGTTATATTATTTTATATTAATACCGAGGCGTATTTATTTCACTCTGATTTCGTAAATCTCACGTAACACGGGTTTTAAAATAGCATATCACTCTTATCCTCTTTCTTACTATTTTACTCTAAATCCCAGAATTTTTATCGATTTTATATTATCAGAGATAATACCGATTACCGTGAAACGAAATTAACTCGAAACGAATAATTATTTATATACGAACCAAAAATACAAGAAGAAAAAGAATGACATTTTTATACTATATGTTAAAAGTTAAAAATGACAATTATAATATTTATTGTATATTGATTTCGTAGGAAGCCCGTTCGATTGTTTACTGGATATCGTTCCAATAAAAAACGAAAAAGGCGACGTCGTCCTGTTTTTGGCGTCGCACAAGGACATCACACTTACGAAAAATCTTCAGACTTGTGAGTTGCACGATTGTGGTGAGTTTTAACTATGCTTTGCTTATAAAACAAAACAAAAAATATATGCCCGATGGAATCGCATTTTATACCTAATCGCAAATGAATTCCGTCGTATTTGAGATTCAACCGTGTCGAATAAACAAGGACCAAAGAATTTCGTAATGTATGCCATTGTTCGATATTGTTCATGCCCTTTTTTTCAACTTGCGATTCGATTTTATTTATATTATATAAGTATATAAATATGTATACTTATATATACACAATACACAACACATGCTTTACGCATGGCGATCACGCGTCAAGGATATATAGGTAATGCAACACCTGTTTACAAGCACCTGACACATCTAGGTTGCACGCTTAGATAGCTTTTTGCAAAAAAAAAAAAAAACACACAAACACAAAATATATAACGTTTCTGTTCTCATTTATTTACTTTTCTAATCAATGCAAAAAATAATACAACATACTGTTTAACTATAACAACGCGTAACGAAATTATTTATTCCAATTGTATAATTTTTTTATTAAATAATTGTACTAGTTCAATTTGATTTTAATGCATACATTACTAATTAACGACAAAATTATCAAAATTCTTTATAAATTTGAGATTATAAAAGTATATTATAATAATTTAAAAAGTTATTTTTATTTTTAAACTTATCTGAAGATACGTAATGGCTAAATTATAAATACCAATTTTTAAACTCTAATATTTTATTAGATTACGTGTTTTATGTTTATTTATTTCTCTCTCTCTCTCTCTCTCTCTCTTTTTATCTCTTTCCTCCTTTCTCATTTTACTCGAAATTACCTAAACGATATCTTATTTACGATGAAATAACTAACTTCAAATTTACTTTGAATTCTGAAGCTTTAATATCCGCTATATAAAATATATATATAAAGTTTATTTTACGAAGCCGGAGATGTTTAAAGAAAGTTTTTTACATTTCGAAAAGAACAAAATTTCACGTTTCTTATAAAAAATAAAATTCCTTTATAGGATTTATTTATTTTTGTTATTTGTCACACAAAACATCGAGAATGTATAGTATCATTGTTCTTCTCGTAGTATAATAGTTATGATATTAAACATGTAGACCAAATTCAATTATCACCTACATAACGTGTCTCCATATGAACATTGGATATTGAATTAACATAAACATGAATATTGAATGGATAAAATTCGTTTTTATTTCGACCTGGTTTCATGAATATTGTTAATTCAATCGTATTTAAAAGTAATGGATGCCTTATCAATATGAAATAAATTTTTGTACTTTAATTTAATAAGAATGACATGAATATCAAAAACGATAATCTATGATTACATTGCAAATATATTGCGAATAAGAAATATTTATTTATGCAATGAATGAAATTGTATTAAAAATGAATAGTTATATGAATACGTTTGTAAAAATTCACCCGCGTATAAAGATAAATTTTTTCTTGTTTAATATACTTTGAAAAAAATTACACGAAACCAAAACAAACTAATGCATTTTAATAAGATTCACATTTGTAGAGGTAGTAGAAATTCGCGTAGAGTAAAAAATCACGCTGGAAAATTTGTTTTTGTTTTTTTTCTTTTTTTCGTCAAGTGGCCACATGAGATTATGAAAAAAAAAAGCACTTACATCGCGACGGTACGACTTTACACTTTTCAGATGCGAATGGGAATCTTGATCCTGAAGCACCACCAGCTAATTACGGTAGAAGGAGAAGTCGTGCTGTACTCTATCAACTTTCGGGACATTACAAGCAGGACAATAAACACAAGATAAAATTGAACAACGTGAGTATTTAAGATAAATATTGTAACTACCAAAGAGAAATATAAATAATAATCTAATATCTTTCAAACGAAAATAAAATTGTTTGAATTATAATTATTCATAATTGGATGAGTATTCGTAATTGGCGGAAAGTATTATTTTTTCTATAAAATTATTAACACGTTTTTTACTTTATTTAATTAATTTAAACAATTTGTAGAAAACAATTTTATCAAAAGAAAATTACTTCCTAAGTATATATGTGTTACGATCAATTTAGAGAATCCGGGCATTTCCTGGATTTCCCTAGAGGGTTTTGGTTAATCTAGAATATATGCTTCAGTTGGTTCTGCTTAGAGTAGGCGGATAGGGGAAAGAAAGCGTTTTTAAGCTCATGTAAGTGAAACAAACCATAGAAATTAAAAAATTTGTACACAATGTCGATAACAAGTTTTGGTCAATCACTAAACTATGCCTCAGTGGAGTATGTTTAAAATATTGGGGCAGGAGGGGGAGAGAATGAAGTGACCTTAAACTCGTATAAGTAAAACAAACCATGGAAATTAATAAATTTGTTAACAATGTCCTGAACAGATTTCGATTAATCATTAAAATATACTTCAGTAAGGGGTGTGTTTAGAACATGGGAGGAGGTAGGGGGAGTGCTAAGTGATTTTAGATGGAAGAACAACTAAACTCTTAACAGAAACCGAGCATCACGTTGATCTTTATAATAACAGAATAACAGTACACGTTTTTAATTATTAATAATTGAATTAGCATTATATTTTATATTAGGAAGAACAATTCTTCCCTTAACTTTTGTCAGGGATTTTTTATTAATGCTTCACGAGTTTAATCTAAGATAGAATGACCAGAGAATAAATCAGGAAATTACTACTTTTTATATTATTATTATTTTTATTATTATTATTTTATTGTATATAAAATTATATATATATATATTATTTATATTTATTTAAAACTTTATATTATAGTTCAAAGAATTAATGTAAACGAATTAATGTATGATATAGGTTACATTTACCCTTTTGAGGATTTTACTTTTGACAAATTATGATAATAATACGATGATTTGTGGTCAAACGCCATTTCCATATCTATACTATAAGTTCTGGCATACGCGTAGTTTACCTATTAAATTTCATGGTCTCACCTCTGCTAGTAGGTAACTAGCAACTGATAATTTACTTAAGGATCCTTCGTAATAATGAAATTTACACCGTGTTGCTCGGAAAAAGAGAAAATCTCCTTCTTTATGAGTTATGTTTGTTCTGATAATTAATGGTTACGTAATTTTGCAAATTTCATACAAATTTCTATCGCAATAATTTCAATATACATATACAATATAAAATAACGAATTTTTAACTACAAGCTCGTGATAATATTATGAAAACAAAAATTTTAGGATTTTTTTCTTTTTATGCATAGTTAAAATAAATAAATAAATAAAACGTATCTAGAGAGATAATAATCGTTATGAAATTTCTGGACAATGTTTATAGCGGAAATATCGTATAAAAAAGTAAAAAGCTTTGATGTTCAAACGATCTTCTTTGTGGTAGCAATGGAAATCTGTGCTCTTTATGAATTTCATTAGAGAACATAATTGCAGATTATAACGTTGCGGTTTAGCATCGCATCCTGAATGCAAATTGTTTTATAAGCATAATAATATTCTGAATATATATAATATATTTTTTAATTTCTCTTTAACCGACGTATATGTATATATCTTTTGTTTGAAAATATCTTTTCCGATTCGACTAACCAGCATTATTAAACAGACCTTGAAACTTCTATTCAATGAAAATAATCAAGTCTTTTAATTAGCAAATGTTAGAACACAATGCGTATGTCAAGTTTGCGACTGCATAAAGTTTCCTTTTATATAATCAGAGGTTATCCAATATAAAGGATTTCTCATAAAGAGAGATAGTTACGAAACCGGAAACATTCGTTTGTATTCGTCTTACTGAAAAATGGTTTCTTAGTTAAGATATGATACTTTTTCGATAATTATAATCGATCGTGAAAATTCAATTTAATTTTTAATTATGTACTTATCTTTACTTTTTTGTACTTTAATAAAAATAAAACAATATAATAATATAAATAAATAATATGACAATGTTTATTACCATCGTTGCAGACCCTATTGCATTCCACGGCACCACCATTACCGGAATACAAAACATCTGCGATTAAAAAGTCGCAATTCATTCTAAGTCATTATGGAGGTTTCAAGTCATGCTGGGATTGGTTGATATTACTAGCAACCTTTTACGTGGCAATCATCGTACCGTACAATGCAAGTTTCATCAATATCGATAGACCAACTATGGTTAGCGACGTCGTCGTGGAAGCCCTCTTTATTTTCGGTCAGTATACTTATTATTTTTAAATAACTCTCAATCTCATATATCAATATCCGCCAACCCCCCACTCTTCCATCCCTCGCACCCCAACCCATCCCATAGAGAGAAAATTGTAACTATTATTCAAAACTTTTTACTATTTTCGACCTGTCGTCAAATAATCAACAATGGTATAAGATGAGCCTGACCCATATACGGTATTCACTACCTACCGGATACAGGTACAGGCAGTATATCGAGCACCTTCTTGACTACAATCGAACTCGAACTTTCATTGAAATGCGAAACTCCTTTTCAAACCTTCGTTCATTCGTTCGTTCGTTCGTTCGTTCGTTCATTCGTCTTGGAATGATTTTATCAAACGAATGGCTGATGTGACATCCATGAAAATAGAACGAAGAAACCTTTAACAAAGATTTTCTCGAATTTTTCTTCGAATGTTCTCATTAATTAGAATTGCGTATAATATAATTGAATCTAAAGTTTCATGGAATATCAATTGCTATTATTTCTTCTTCTTCTTCTTTTTCATTTTTTTCTTCTTCTTCTTCTTCTTTTATTTTTTGCAATAATTCATTCGAGAAAGGAACAAGAATAAGGGCTCTCTTTTCTTTTATCCAATTGGTGATCTGAGAAGCTTGTTACGTCAGCCTATAGCTTCGCCCTTTTCTTCCATAAATCCCCCTACCCCCACGCCCAGCCCCATCACCCATCGTCTCTGCTTTAAATGCGCACCCTTCAACCCTCTCACCATTTTCTCCTCCTCCAAATCAAGTCTCTTTCTCTCTCCTTTATCATACTCTGGTCTCGCATTTGACTTTTTTTTTTTTGCCCACTCGAGACCGCTTTTTCCCTAGACGCGAACACAGCGGAATTCACATTTTTCTCCCAGTTACATCTATTTACCACATCCTCGACGTCAAATTCATCCGCGTTATAATCAAGAGGGAAAAGAGGAAGGAATTTTTCATCCCGCCCAAACGAAATTCTCGGATGACAAATTTGACGATGAAGAAAATTGTACCGTCTTGAAAAATTATCATTTACTGCTTGCGAGTATTAAACGTGTCAAAAAGAAAAGCAGAAATAAATAACTGTGACAACGATTACGATAATAAATTCGAAAATTTTCTTAATGGTGAGTCAAGATAGTTTTCAAGATAATATAATAGGTTACTAACGTGTAATAAATTGTATGAAATAATGCTAATTATTTATTGATATCGTAACACATTCAACATTATACTTCTAACGCGAGTAAATAGAATTAGATAATTCTTATTTAAATGTTCTCGTTGTAAATGATACTATTTTTTAATTGGAAATATTTACAATTGAAACTTTTGATATTTCGTAGTATTTTCCGATTATATAATTCGAAATATTCGACATGATTACTTAACTCTAGAAACGTAGGAAGCGAGAATGTCAAACGATGAAAGCATCTTTCATCTATACTTCGTGTTCAAGATGTTCGTCAAATTATTACCTGTATATACGAAGGTTCCTTTGAAGTAGTATCAATGATGTTAAGGCAAACACTATAAAGCTAACGTCATAAGAGTTACAAATTTGTTAACTTTGCAACTTTAGCTAGCTGATCAAGTCTTAAGTGTTCAATCTTGAGGGTGCAAATGTCAAAGAGAGAGAAAGAGAGATAGAAGGATAAAAAGAAAAGGAGAAAGAGAGAGAGAGAGAGAGAGAGAGAGAGAGTACGTAAATTAGATCCAATATAATCCTGTTTATAAGTAGGATTAAATGGAATTCTCTACTTCATGTTGAAAGTTCCTTTGTTAAGTGCACAGTGTCTCTTCGTGAAAATGAGAGAGACAGAGAGAGAGAATACTTTGACCAATGTCCAATTGCATGATTTACTTGCAAACTACATTCAATACGACTATTCGAGTAGCAACGTTACAAATGAGTTTGGTGGAAATCCAAATGCTTGTACACGTTAAATTGATTAACGCTACGACGTAACTACTACACCAATATATGTATATGTCCCGAAAATAAATCAATACACGTTTACAATGAAAAACAACGTAATACAAGAGATAACTGTGTAATGAAACAAAAAGTTATAGAAATTATTTATGTTTGATAGGCAGCGGGTGGGGGGGGGGATATATTTTACAATATTTATTTTTTTTCATAGTTTCGTTGAAATGAAATGCGTGAAGAATTATTAATCGAGCAAAGAATTTTTTGATTTTATCGTCAATCTTACATCTCAATGTTTCCTTCATCATAAATAATTTACTTTATCTTTTAGATTCAATTTGATCGTAGATATTATTTTATTTACGTTTTTTTTCTCTTTCTCCTATATGATAAGCAGTATTTTTCTTCTTTCAAAGAAATCTCTCGCATCAGACAAAAAAAAAAAAGAAAAAGGAAAAGCTTCTACATATATATTTTATCGTTGAATTTAATTTTCTCTTTTTGTTTTCCTTTTATATAGATATCCTATTGAATTTTCGAACAACTTATGTCAGCAGTAAAGGAGAGGTCGTAAGCAATAGCAAAAGCATCGCATTGAACTACATGAAAACTTGGTTCCTCGTTGATCTCGTAGCAGCTTTACCCTTCGATTTTCTCTACGCTTCTGATGTTTATAGCGGAGAGGTTGGTACACTTACTATAATACCTTCATATAATTTTTACGTTATTATAATAAAAAAAAAAAAAAAACAACAAAAGGAATCCAGGTAACTCGCTTATATAACATTGAATTCCCATACCACGACTTTTATTCTAAATTGTAAGATGACTAGAGTATTGTAGAATTTTGTATTCGTAGAACATATGTAAATAATATATACTTTAATACATTGTTGTGTGTTGGATCAAGTAAAAATATATTTTTATAAGTAAATTTGAGATACACACATACATATCATTTTTGATCAATTATTTATTGACTGATCGAATAAACATATTATTTCTTTCGGTGTAGAAATAAAATAATTTAGTTTTCTTCATTTTTGGAATCTTTAAATCAATTTCCGGTACTAATTTTGTATTTCGAAAATTCGCATAACGTGACAATTTTTTTTTTTAGAAACTTTAACTTAACATAACTTTAATGTTATACTAACGTTATCTCTATGCGATACACTTTTTATCTTTTCTATTATTGTACACGATACTAGCATTATTAATTTTGTTTTAAAATACTAAAGAATATTCTCATTAATCTTGCATGTTTAACACGCACGTCATATATATCTTTCGGAAATAACGTTTAATGGAATTCTTTAATGAAATTCTACGCGTTAATAATGCATTAGCTTATGACATATTACACGCGTTTAAACTTTTGTTGAAAGTTTTACATTATTGCGGTTAATAATAAGCATTTAAATGCAATAGATAAGCATCGTTTATTTCAAAACGTAGTTTCAAATACGTAATTTACTGCGAATTTGCAAAACTGATAACGTGACTTTTAAGTTATTATGCGCATCTACCGCATGAATTTCATTGCGAATCTATAACAAACCTATCTATAATAATGTAAATATCCATAAGCTGAGATTTCCCACGCTAAAATTCAAATTACGTCGATAAATAATAATACGTGGTTACGCACAATAGTACTATTATTTCCTATGTATTTCGTAAATTCCTGCACGTGTTATAATATCTTATGAATATCTGGCGAAATTTGAAGAGACGTTTGAAAAGCACACATAACTGCTGCTGCTTAACAAATTAATCAAATGGAAAATAACATCCAAGAGATTGTTTCATAATTTTGCTTGATCGAACGGAAAAAATGATAAATTATTTTTAGCAAGATATTTAAAATAATAGCAGTACCATGGGCTCGATACTTTTTTTTCTTCTTTTTATTCAATTGAACATTCGTATCTTGAAATGTGTCAGTAATTATGATGACAGTTTGAACTAAGTTACTAATTCGAGTGAATCGATTTTTTTTCTTTCTTTTTTTTTATATATATTTATATACAATAACACTTATTTCTATTCTAATAACAAATGATCTATCACGTGATTTTTTTACTCACGACGAGCCGGTGCAGTCAAATATTTATTAAATGACATTTTTTACGAGTGAATATTTTAATCATCGCTCATTATAATAAATTCGCAAAACGCGAATAAGATTTCGCAATTATTATCCTATTGTTAGAGAGTATAAGATGAAATCTAAACGCAACTACGTATTCACGACGGTTTTAGAAATCCTCGAAAACGGGAAGAAAAATTTCATTTGTTGTCTTATAAAAAGATTCGGTTTACATTCGATTCGTTGAAAATAAGAAGAAATAAATTGGCGAATAAAAGCCCATTAGTTCATGAATTTATCATTCAATGAATTCACCGAAATAAGTTTTATTCGGGATTGCACAATAAAGTTGATTAACACGTCTTTGCTTTTATTATTACAAATTATTTTGCTTATACACGGAAAGCTCAATTTTCTCCTTTAAATATTTTCTCCATAAAATCATATAAACGATTTTAAGAGCAATAATTTCGTATTTAGTAACGGTTACGTAACATTTTTGTTCACCTCGATATTATAAGAAATTTGATTTTTTTTTCCCTCACTTTTCAACTCCCCGATGGTCATTAAACGATTTTAATGGGAAAATGTCAGCAAAAATTTTGTAATTAAAATTCCAAATTTATAAGCGTAGTTTAATTAACGAAATTCATTGATAAAGATTTCGTGATAAATTCTTACCGATTCGTAAAGGAAAATAAATTGACGTTAAATTTTTGCGCGTGTAATTCGATTCTCAATAGCAATTTATTATTTTTCTTTGTTTTATTGAATATAATTATTCTGTCAGATGATAACGAATTAGCGAAACAGATGAGATAATTTAACAATCACCCGTGAGCAATACATCATCGAATTTGCGGTTTACGTTAATTTCAAATATCCGTCAAACGTATCTTCAGTAATTCACCTATGTTTAACAAATATCTTGATCGATAACACGCCTCTAACATACTATTCGAATTCATTCGAACTAGCTCGGTTGCAATCCACTATATAAGCTAATTTATAAGTATATATTGTATATATTAAAAATTCCATTGAAATGTAATCCTAATTAAAAGTTAATTACTAAATTATCAATCTTGAAAATCTATGGAGAGAACGGAAAAGCAAAATCCAATTTACATTGATTCGTTGAAAATAAAGAAGAAAATGAAGATGAACAATTAAACGAACTAGGGATAAGCTCATCGGTTTAGTATTTTTAACGAAATCGATTTGTTTTTGTAACTGCACAATAATGAAGATTAACGGATCTGCGATTTTATTAAAAAATCACAGTTTTTATATAATATTATATATTATAGATAATTAAGTTAATTATTTCAAATAATAATTAATTCGGTTTACATTTTTGCACTATATAAGTATTGTTAGTAATGTTACGAAATAATGATTTAAATATTATCGATATTTTCGTTTTATCACAGGAATCAGTACACAGTAATATACATCTAGTGAAATTAACCAGACTACTTAGGCTGGCTCGTCTGTTGCAAAAGATAGACAGGTATTCACAATATAGTGCTGTGATCTTGACAATGCTGATGTTATTTTTTATTCTGGTCGCACATTGGCTGGCTTGTATTTGGTTTGTCATTGCTGAAAAGGAACGATTAAGAAACGACAAGGAATGGGATCTTGGTGAGTTCATAATTTTGATAATTTTTCTTTCTCCCAAGGAACAGGATATCAATTTTGTTTAAATTTTACACAATTATAGGAGTTCATCGGAGTATCTATAATTAAAATCAATGAAATAAATTGTTGTCTAACATTAAGTGTACATTTTCGAAATATTTTCTTTAAATAATGCAAACATTTTTTCCTCTTTCTTCCTTCGTAAGGTTGTTTTATATTATACTTGTGCAAGAAAAAAGAAAAAAAAGAAAAAGCTTTCAAGTTTTTACGAAAGGCCAGTGAAGTTTCATAAAATTTAATTTTTTTCATGGTACTGAAATGTTGTTTGTTCATGGTAATGAAAAACTTTTTAATAAAAAAACATTCATATAATCTTGATTGTTTGAACGTTCACTAGCACCGATGGAAACATAATTCTAACGTTAGAAAAAAGAAAGAGAAAGAGCAAAAAAATGAACTTGAACAAACTAAGACAACGTAGCTAGCTTCTCATACTTTACGTAAACGTATTCTTCAAATTTATTTTCTTTTTTATTAAGACAAAGGGGAACGTATACGGTTAAATAAAAGGTATTGTTAAATTTACGTCAGGAACTTTTTTATTTGAACTAACGATCGTATAATACCAAGGATAGAAAAAGGTATAAAGTTAAACGATAATAGAAACGTTAAGGTAGAACATTAAAATTTAACCTACATCCCGAAAGACATTGACAAAGAATAGGGTTAAGAGGAATTATCTGATTAATCTTAGATTAATCGATAATAGAATTCTCGTAAAATAAGAAAATGATTCAATTTCATTCGCTATTAATCTTTGTTATCCGATAATTAACTCGTCTATTTAACTCGCGCTCGGATATTATACCTTGTAAGAGAAAAAAGATATGAAAAATGACGATAATCGATCATGTTATATGTTGTTCTAGGTTGGATACATGCTTTAGCTGAACGTTTAAAAATTTCCGTTCAAAACGTCACCCATACGGAAAGTTATATCACCGCATTGTACTTCACTTGCAGCAGTTTAACTTCTGTAGGATTTGGTAACGTCTCGGCTAATACATTTTCAGAAAAATTTTTTTCCATCTGCACAATGCTCATAGGCGGTTAGTACAAATTTTCTTTAATAATTCCATTTCGTTGGATCATCGTCTTGGAACACAAAAGGAAAAAAGCAATATATATTATTTTAATCCTTTTCTATTTAGCTCTTATGCATGCCGTCGTATTTGGTAACGTCACGGCAATCATTCAAAGAATGTATTCGAGAAGATCGCTCTATCAAACGAAATTGCGCGACTTACAGGACTTTCTGGTGCTTCATCAAATCCCTGACGAGTTGAAGCAGCGAATGCAAGATTACTTTCAAACGATGTGGTCCTTGAATCACGGTATCGATATACACGAGGTAAAATCAATAATATTATCTATTTATATGAAATTTATAATGATGTAAGCTTTTATACATCGTGTGAAGCAGCTATTTTATTCAAAAATTTCTAATTAACATGTCGAGAATTTATTTTGTTGATAATAATAATAATTAATTAATTATTTACGAAAACTCAATGAAATGCTAAAGTATATAAGCGCGCGTGCTAACTTTAAATATATCAACAATACTTTTTAGACGCTGAAACAATTTCCTGAAGAACTTAGAGGGGACGTTTCGATGCATTTACACAGAGAAATTTTAAGCTTACCAATATTTGAAGCGGCCTCTCAAGGTTGTCTTAAATTACTTTCCTTACACATTAGAAGCAATTTCTGCGCTCCCGGCGAATATCTTATGCACAAAGGGGACGCTTTGTCATATATTTATTATCTCTGCAATGGTTCCATGGAGGTCGTTCAAAATAGTATGGTCGTGGCGATTTTAGGTAAAATACCAATAAATTTTTAATCTTATCGAAAAGAAATTTATTCTTGTCCAATTATTATTTAACATTCGAACGCTATATTAAATCCCTTGCACTCTGCACACTGAATTCCAAAATAATAGGCACGAGTATTTATTTGAAATTTTTTTCGAAAATAAATTAACATACAAATAATACATTTTGTATGTTTTACATTTGCAATTAAAAAATTATTCTATATATATATTTCGTAATAAACTATAATTATAATTATAGAATTTGTTATAGAGGAAATTTTGAAAATTATTCCCGAATGCAAAGGATGCAAACATTATTGGGGTGTAGACAACAAAGAATATTTCCTTTTGTATGTACAATTAATTAATATAATCCACTTTATTTAAGGGAAAGGTGATTTAGTTGGCTGCGATATAAATGTTCACCTGCAACATGGAAACAATGGAGGAGGAACTGGTGGTGGTGGATCTGGTGGACCTGATGTCGTAGTAAAATCTAGTTGCGATGTCAAAGCTTTGACTTATTGTGATCTAAAGTGTATACACATGCAAGGCCTGGTTGAAGTTCTTCGTCTTTATCCCGAGTATCAGCAGGAATTTGCACATGATATACAACATGATCTCACGTATAATTTACGCGAAGGTTATGAAGCCGAGGTAAGTTGTTTAAAATATGCAAACTTTTGATGACAAGATGCAAATGTAAAGAAAGAAAAAAGAAAGATATATAGAAAAAATTCTAATATATGAGTCATTTTTTATATAGTTGATATAAGATTAATATAAAAAAAAAAAAAAAAAAATTAAGACTAATTTCAATTAATCACGAAATAACTTCTTTTCATATTGTTAATTAACAAAACCAATTCATTACAATATACTTATGGATTGATAACAATAAATTACACTTGTTTTTCTTTACACAATTTTATTAATTGTTATACCAATTAATAAAAACGATATTCATATCGTCTCATTATTTTTATTTAAAATATACGTGAGATTTTTAACGAGTTTTTAACTATTAGCAGGAGTCAGACATGAACGGTCCTTCGTTAACATTACCATCAATTAGCGAGGATGATGAAAATATAGTTGAAGAAGGGGAAACGTCACCTCTCTCTCCGTCGAATAAATCACCATTACATACGTCGTCTAGTCCCCGACATGCTAAATTTAGGTAAAGAAATTTATATATATATATATATATATATATAGGAATGAGTAAGAATGTAGTTTGATGATCCAGCGATATATTAAATATGTAATATATAAATATATATTTCATAAATATTTTTCATGTCTTTTATCGTCTACATATATTAGGGATGAGTACAGAGAAGGAAGAAGAGCACCAGGTAGAGGAGTTATCGTGAGGGGAAGGGCAGCACAAATAATCGCTCAAGAATCTATGGAGGAACATATTCGTGGTTCCGTAGAAAGATTGGATACGCAGGTTTCCACGTTGCATCAGGACGTGGCTACATTAAGTTGCGAAGTAAGTGTAAAAAATGATTCATTCCTTACCATTATAAATGCACACTAAACAAACATTGATAAGAACAGATTTAACGATACAGAAAATTTTTTATTCGATAGGTAAGAAATGCCATTCATGCTCTACAAATGTTAGCTTATTCACCCCAAAGTAACCCTAATTTACCAAGACCAGCCAGTCGTGGAAGTGGAATGTTAGCAAGAAGTTCCTCTCATCCACCAGATGCAATCTGTTGGAACCCACCAGCTAGATTAGTTGATACCACAACTCAAACGGATTGGCCAGTCGATATGTTTGAAGTTTGGGTTCGGGCAAATCCCGATCGTGTTTTAATGATACTAGGTCTTGAGCCAGATTCACTACTTAGGTTACAACCATCATCTCCGACCCAGTCACCGTCTTCACCACCACCACCACCTTACGAACCCTTATCTCCATTAGCAGGCACACCACCACGATCACCGTCCCCATCTCGACGTAAGTATTTTTAAATTTAATTCCAATTATTATACTTTTCATAATACACATTTCCGATATATAGTATTATTAGTCCGGTCAATAAAAGAAAAACTGAGCGAATTGTGGTACCTGGCCAAAAACTTGATATAATAGTAACTCGACGACGCTGAATCGAATGGTGCTAATTTTTTTGCAATACGATGTTGCGTTTACGAGAAAAAGGGTAAAAAAGGGTAAAAAAGGGTAAAAAAGGGTAAAATGGATAAAAAACGGCCGTATCTTAGAATCTAGGCATTAAATCGAAAAAAGTTTTAAACAAAAGTTGTGTAGAATTAAAAAATACATAAAAAGTGGCTTGCCCCCTCTCTTACAATTACCTTTCACCTTCATTTTCTCGCTTATTTTTGCACATACGAAGATACACCTGAGAACACTTTTTATGTATTTTTCAATTCTCTACAACTTTTGTTTGAAACTTTTTTCGATTAAATGTCTAGATTCTAAGATATGGCTTTTTTACCCTTTTTCTCGTAAACGCAACATCGTATTGCAAAAAAATTAGCACCATTCGATTCAACGTCGTCGAGTTACTATTATATCAAGTTTTTAGCCAGGTACCACAATTCGCTCAGTTTTCTTTTATTGACCGGACTATATTATTAAATGTATTACTTTGATAAGTGTTCATTGTAATTACAAAATGTAAATACCGATTAAATTATAAAATAAGAAACAATAATTTCGTTATAACGTATATATCAATATATCGCATAAAAAATAGTGTTTTGTATCTCGACTAAAAAGTGATTATTAATTACTCTTTTTTTTTTTGTATATATATTTACGTCTCGTACAATAAAACATCACTTTTTAGAGGAGAATATATTTTTTTATGACAAAGTGAAATTAAAAAAAAAAAAAAAAAAGTAAAAATAAAAAAAAACTAAACAAAATATAAAAAAGTAAGAAATATTCGATTGTTTTCAGATGAGGAGATTTGTGTCTTTGAAAATGAGGATAGGGACGTTCATCGAGCGTACAAAAATTCGCACACAACGTGGAATTCGGGAAATAAGTTGTCTCATCGATTTAGTGCTGGTGATGCCGACAACGTTTCTCTCTATCAAACGTTCAATACCCTTCATCAACTTCCAGAATCGCGCTCCTTGAAATTCGAGATATTTGATAGCTGAGCAAAAATAGAAGAGGAAAATTGCCAAGATCGTCGAACAATTTCCGACGAAACGTAAAAAAAATACCTTGTCTCGTGTTTCCGGTTCGTAACGCGATGCGATGCGATGCATCAGAATTGTGTTTGATTAGTGACGCACAAAAAAAGAAAAGTAAAAAAATTTAATGATGAAAAAGAATGGATTCAAAACTGAAAAAAATGTAACTTCGAACGCGGAATATCCGCAACGTTCTGTCAATTTTTATCATCGAGATTTGGTCCCTCTTGATCCTTTATAAATATATATATATATTTCTTTTTTTATTTTTTTTTTGAGGGGCAAAAAATACTTGATTTTCAATTTTAACACGATCTTCAATTCGAATATATCGAATTTCCCTATATATTATTACATTATATGTTACAAAAAATAATGAACGTGTAAAAGGAAGAAATAAGAAATAGAAAAAAATAAAATTAAAGGGAAGGATGTGTTTTAATATTTTCTGTGATATATATATATATATATATATATATATATATACTTTTTATCGCTTTCGACTAGGATCTTTCGCCTAACTCGCTAAACCAACGAGAAAATTCGTTACTTCCGAAAATTCCAAAGTTCGACTAGGGAAAATCTCTTTCTGATATTTGTGAGATATGTATATTGAATATTATGAAAAGCATAAAACACGAATCGTCAGTCAAAGTTTTCTACCCTTTTCGAGTATAAACTCATTGTTCGTTTGTGCCTCTAACTTACTATTTTTCATTGTTTGTCTATCTCTCTCTCTCTCTCTCTCTCTCCCTCTTCTCTTTCTCTCTCTCCCTCTTCTCTCTTTCTCTGTATTTCTATTCTCAAAATATCAATGATTTCTAACCGATATCGTACGCAAGTACACACAAATACATTCAAACATATCGATCGTAAAAAAAGAAATGATCATGACACCACCCCGCATATCAAATTCGATATATGTAATTCTAAAGACTATGAACGAACGTTGTTATATTATATTTGTCACTCTATAATTATGATCGACCTTCTCCACAAAAGTGTTCTATATTATATTTTGTGCGAAAAAAAGGGAACAAATGGTTCTTTGTGAGGTCAATATATATATTATGTAATCTTTACTTTTCTCAAGGAAAAGAAAAAGAAAGAAGGTTTTTCTTTAAGCTAAACGATTAACGAGATTAGTTTGAATAGTCGTATGTATGTATGTATGTATGTATGTATGTATGTACGTATGCATGTATATTACATAGATATACACACATACTTTTATTATTTTCTTTTTTATTCGTTAAAACTCTCTTGCTTGCATCATTCCACGTGCGTACACTACTGTGATCGATTAAAAAGATTTGAGAAAAAAAAGATAAAGAAAACGTGCGATACACTTAAAGGTTGCTAAAGGACGTAAAAATAATAAAAAAAAAAAATAGAAAACGAAAGAATTCATGTGAGAAGATGATGCGACACGAAAAAATGCTCGTGTTTCGTTTGAAATGTAAAAACTGAGGGAAATAAAAACAATAAAGGAAAAAGAAAAACGCATCGATCGTCGCCTAATTTAACGCGTAAATCGTATTAAACGATTAAGTCCTTCGAAGACTTTAATAATAATAGCGTAGCAATAATGAGCACAATTCTTTTCGATGTATACTCCTCCAACGTCCAATTTAGAATGATGAAATAGTTATTAAGGTATAGAAAATCTCTCTCTTATGCAATCGTGTCTATATATGCGAGACACCTAAAATCGAACCGAGTTATGCATAAACAAATCAAGCGCCATTTTTTTATAATATTTTTGTTACAAAAAATTCCAGTTTTTACAAAATTAAGTTATTGTGACCATCTGTTAAAGAAACATGTGTATTACATTGTAAACAATTCATTATACCAATATCAGTGTGTGGTGTTTTGTCATAGAAGATTAAAATTTATTAAAAGTTCAGACGGTTTTCTTTCCATCGCAAATGATACACAAATGAAATGGTTCATAAGGCAAAATGAACAAATTGGTAATTTAATGCATAACGCGGTCCAATTTATTTTCGAAAAGAACTAATATTCAAAAAACATTGTCGAGCATACGATCTCGTACAAATTGTTTGAAACATAATAGTGTATCATATGAAGTTACAACATGTATAACGTATATATATCTTGTACATGTAAGTAAAATCTATCGAATGAAACGTCGGTGTAAATATAAAGCGATATATCGAAGATAAATATGTGATAAGGCACGGCTTTTGGCCATGCACTAACGTATTCGTTCAACTTCGTCGTTACTTGTGAAAATTCGATGTCGATTTTTCTTATTCTCACTATTATGTATATTATTATATAATGTTTAATAGAAATTCCAAATTTTTTGGGGAAACATAACGAAAGAATTATTGAATCGTGTAGTAAATTTAAAAATTAAAAAGAAAGAAAAAAAAAGGAATAATAAAAAAGAGCTTATTCGTTATGTCGATCGGTAGTATAAAATAAGGAAAAAGTCAATCTTTGATGAAAAAAAAAAATGAAAAAAAATAAATAAATAAATAAATTTTGTGTAAAAAAAAAAAGAAATCGTTCTTGTTAGTCGTCTGTCAAATTTTCACAAGTTATGGTAGAAGTGCTGTTTTATAAATATTTCATATATTTTGTTATACTGTTTCTATGCTCTTCACACTACGATTCAAAAAAAGCTACTCTTAATAGTATTATAATCTATATACTTCGTCTCCTCTACTCGTAGTTTTTACACTACTCCCCACCGAACTATATATGATAAAATATCGCATACAATACCACAAATTTATCAGAGTGAAAAAAGAAAAGAAAAAAAAAGAAATGAACAAAAAAAAATGAAAACAACCAAGAAGTATAAAGAATGCACAAAATTCGAATGAGTTAAGTTATTTCTTATTCTTCGTCCATAAATTAGACAAAAAATTCTTCTTGGAAGATTTTTTTAAAGATCAAAGTATTTTTCACAGCATTGTATTCTTACCGTAAAGGACGATTAATTAAGAATTATTGTTAATACAACGTTGTGCAAAACGTTAATGTATATATAATAAATAGGTATATGTGGTGTATCTAATATTATCCCATCTATAAAATTAGTTTATAAATTTACGTTAAGGTATAAAAAAAAATGGAAAAATTATTGAAAAATTTTTAGCTCAAACTCTATCACATTTTTGTATTGTAAATTTTTTATCTGATCTAGTTAGAAAATATTTGAATCTACGGCCTTAAATATAAAAGATAAAAAAGTAACTTATTTTTTTCACAACATATAATATAACAGAAATAACTTTAAAACGATTTCTATGGGATCGATAATCATGGCACGCATATTGTCTAGCGGAATGAGTATTACAACAAAAAAAGAAGAAAATGAATTCTATTCGAATGATTAACAATACCGATTATTAAATTTTATCTCTAATAAGTTCCATTGCGACTTTTCTCGAAAATATGGGGTTATTATTTGATTCGAAGTTTTGTCGTATAAATTGAGTAAAATTGTTTTATTAATTTTTAATAAATTTTCTAATTTTTTAATTTTTAAAAAATACGATCATATCCGCAAAAGCATAAATGATCTGTCTATTACATATCGATTGGAAATTGGCTAATAAGAGAAGAATACGGATATTGTACAAATTCCGCGCGCAAAGAAAAAAGATATATATTATTCTAAAATATGGGAATGTATTTACTATAATATATCGTTGGTAATAAATGAATCTCTTAAATCTACCGCAACTTGGAATTTCGCGGATTGAATACATATAATACATATTTTTTAAAAGTATATATATATACGTTGTAACACTACGTAGTTCCCCTCTTCGCGTGCCTATAATTTTGCAAAACTTCTTTTTAAAAATGAATACATCTATACTATTTATTTAGGGTTCTCAATTCAATATATTTTATTATTTGATTTAATTGATGCGATTATAAAATTAATTATGGCGACTCACGAAATAAACTAAGTCTAGCTTATCTCTATTACAAAACATTTATGTAAACTGTAAATATTCTTGGATGCTGATTGTACAGTGTGCATCATATAATTGATTCCTTTGTTCTGTAAACGCATTACGAATTATTGCATAAATAAATCACAGGAGTAATACAGAAATTGTATAATATTTCCCTTTTATATATTTAAGTTTTATATTTCGAAAAAAAAGACGAATCAACAAAAATAATATTCTAATTTCTTATTTACTTAAGAACAATCAAGATGTTTTTAGAAATCGCGCGATAATAGTTTTTGGCAAAAATGATTGAAAAGTTCACGACTACAGAGCGTGCATATAACACGTAAATTAATTATACATAATATATTTTACGTTCCCTCCCCTTTTATATCATTTATGTCAATTTTATTTTTGAAGTATAAAATCAATGAAATTAAATTTTAATAAATTACCAATAATTTGTGTTGAAACAAACGCTAAAAGAAAATATTCATTCGGTTGTAAAAAAGTGGCGCGATTATAAATTAAACAGTAAATTATTTACATGTTTTATGTTAGTGATATTCTATTAACTGTTAAACTAAAAGTAATTTGTTATCGTTCAAAAACTAGACAACCATGCTGATTAGTTATTTTAGTATACATAATATCATAAATAATAAAGCTAAAAGATAATAATACAATATATGATACATATAATTGTCAGTAAAATGGATGGGTGACCCGTTTAGAAAAATAAAAAATTGTATGCTGTTGACTCCAGAATGGCGATAAACATACATGACCACTTTAGTAGTATTAGATACGTGATGTGTTCGTAAAGAAGCGACTGAAACCCCTAATAAGAGAGAGTAATAAAATATATACACACAAAGTGTTACGTTTATAATAAAATTATATTTTATAAATTATAATAGAAATTATATTAAATTCTAATAACTTTTATTAGTAATATATATTCAATTCACAATCAGTTTTATTTTAATTATATCGTAGGAACGCTGGCAAGGAACCTTAACAGCAGAAAAAAATTAATAAGTGCTCTTATTTGCTCAACTTTATTTTATCAAATATATTTTTCAAAAATTTTCAAATTTTTTTTTATCAAAGAATACAATATTCTTTGATAGTATATATAGTATAGTAATATTGTAAGAAAATTTAAAATAATTATATTTAATTTTTAATGTCTAAATACGTGTGTACCTTCAGAAATGCGTTTTTTATACATATATATTTTAGAAAGTGGAAGAAAATCAAAACAAGTAGATGATAAATCCAACGATGATCACCTATAACAAAAAGAAAACTATATTAATCATACAATCAAGTGAAACAATAGCCTAACATACAAATCGTCCAATTCGCAGAGATGCACTTTTCATTTAAATTTCCTATTTATTTTTATCCAATCTCTATTTACCGTTTGTAAAATAAAATTACATTTAAACGCGTGATTTTA